CTTTGCACCGACGAGTCTTACTCTGTCCCCAGGCTCCGCTGGAGTTCCGATGTGTGAATCGTCCGGCTCAACTGAACGTCCACGCTTCCAGGATTCGAACGCGATTCCTCCAAACATCAGCCTCCTGAGTAACTGGGATTACAGGTGCCTGCCACGCCATGACAGCATAACTTTTTGTATATTTTATAGAGACTGGGTGCTTCACTATGTTGGCTAGGCCTGGTCCTCGAACTCCCTGACCCTCAAGGGATCCACCTGCCTTGGGCATCCAAAGTGCTGGGATACAAGCATGAGCCCATCATGCACCGGCCCCAGCTAATTTTTTAATTTTTTGCTAGAGTTGGGGTCTCACTATGTTAGCCCAGGCTGGTCTCTCCGAACCCATCGGGCTCAAGTGATCCTCCTAACTGGCCTCCCCAAAGTGCTGAAGAGACAAAGCGAGGTCGACCACACCCCCTCTCCACTCCTAACACACATATTTGGTTGTAGCGCATTCGCCAAGCCCCTCCAAGCGATGGAATAAAGGAAAATCTGAGTTCCTTCAAAATTCCCAAGCACCTAGCTAAGCCCTTGGATAAATAATATTGAGCAACTTGATAAAGCAAGAATGTAATAGTAGCCTCTAAAACAATACAAAGAAAGCTAGAGCCATGGAAACTGTTTTGGTTCCCATATGCTAAAGCTAAAGATAACATGCTTGCATATGGTCCCCTGGAACTTTTTTCAGAAACTGACCCCCACCAAGATCTGCTGGCAAACAGACTCCGATAAGGAGAAACAGAGGATTCGATCTCTGACACGCTGTCTCCTTTGTTCACAGTTCTTACGGCGGGGCGCCTGGAGGTAGCGGATCACACTCGACATTCGAGGGGAGACTAACGACACTTTTTTGAGACGGAGTCTGGCTCTGCCACCCAGGCTGGAGGGCAGTGGCCGGATCTCAGCTCACTGCAAGCTCCGCCGCCCGGGTTTACGCCATTCTCCTGCCTCAGCCTCCCAAGTAGCTGGGACTACAGGCGCCCGCCACGTTGCCCGGCTAGTTGAGCTAACATTCTTTTCTCCTGACCCCAAATTTTTCTCCCTTAACCAATTGCAAATCAGAAAATCTTTGAATTTACCTATTGCCTATAACACCTCTACATTCCCCCGAACCCTCCTCCCCTTCAAGATACCCGATTCTTTTAAGCCAACAAATGTGTAACCTTCATGTACTGACTTATGACTTTGCCTGTAACTTCTGCTTTCCCGAATTTTACCCCTGCCTTTAAAAACCCTTACCTGCAAGCTATTGGGGAAGTCAGGATTTGAGAGTGAGCTACCTGGTCCTCCTTGCTTGGTGCACTGCAAATAAATGTCTTCCTTTCTACTGTTGCGGGACAGTCAGAGACAGGAAAGACCGAACAGAGTTCAGGAAAGCCTTTATTAAGGTAATCACCTAGCTCAGTAGGACTAGCGTCCAGGAAAGTCTGAGCCCTGGACAAAGAAAGCAGCCACCTTTTAAGCAGTCAGTGGCCGGGAGCTATGTGATGCAGCAAGCATACTTACAGAAGTGAGAACAAAGGCAGTTGATCAGTCTTTTACATTTATCTATCCTACATGTTCTATATCCTTGGGAAACTCTGTTTCTGTAACATATGCTTATCAACCTTGTAACTTTGCAGCTGTAGGGAGGTGAAGCAGGAACTCACTGAGCCTCAAGGAATGTGAAACTGGTGAGTACAGATAAGGCTTGCTGAGCACAGAAGGAAAAACAGGCAGTTAGTATCCTTCTCTAAGTTAGACTACGTAGGGCGGGGGACTACACTAAACTTAGCTTTGGAAGGAAAAACTAAAAATTTCTTGGCGGTCTTTGATTATACTTGTAAAATTCATGAATTCCTTCTTCATCCCCGCTTCGGTGCTTGCCATCAATGTAGATTAATAAAGAGCACCACAGTTGTTTATCTTTTCCTGTGTAGGCACATATTCTTCCTGGGGAACTGGTTGGTATTTTTGTAATGCCATTATTTTGGTGGTAGTTGTTCTGTCCACTATAGCTTTAATAGTAGACTGGATGCTTCTGATGAGGAGAAGTAAAAGACAAGGCAGTATTAAACATCCTCCTACTATAGCTGTAAAACCAATTATCAAGGTTTTAAAGCCTCCAAAAGTGAGTTGGGCTCCACGAGGACCAAGTCTGGACTGGGACATGGGCTAACTTCCTCATTCTAGCAGTAATTTCCATAACAGCTCTTCCATTATTACCAATTTCTAAGCAACAGTTGGTCAAATTAAGCTTGCCACAAACTTCTCCTTCTGAGGCTACGAGGTAGTCTAATGCTAGCCTATTTTGGTATATAGCATCTCTCATTTGAGTGGCCTGTATGGCTAACAGAGCCAAGGCTCAGGCTGTTTCATTGACTATGATTTCTGTACTACTTGCAATCTTATAATTTGGTTTAACGTGTAAATAGGGGTGCGGTAGCCCCATGATCCATCTTGGGCCCATGTAGCTGGCCCATAGTATTTGATAATTTTTTCAGAAGGCCATTCATTATCCTTCCAGCTACCTATCTCAATGTCCTTCTTTATGTTTGTGTTTCTCTTTTCTACAGTACTTATCTGAGTAAAGACGTTTCTTCTGGTCCTTTTTCCTTCTTCATTATAGACTGGGTAACTTAAATCTTCCCCTTATTTCAGTGGGAGCAAGAAGAAGGACGGCCTTATTGTCCTTAACACACAGGCTCCGGTCCACTTCTCGGGCAATAGTTAATAAGCTTTAGTCCCACAGATCCAATATAGTTCTGCCAGTGCTTTCTAAACATTTGGAGCATCTAGTTGATACCATAACTGATTTAGTGCTGGAAACTGAAAGAGAGGGTTAAAATCTGGTACAGAGGAATTGTCTATAAAGCTTCTTCACTAAGTCTTATTCTTAGACTCTTCAAAATATTGCTGACCTAAACAAGTCATATCTCCTACTTCAGTTTGAAAGTCTTTTTTCCCCGTCGTGCTATGCAGTATCTTCTAATGATAGGGTTTTTTGTTTTGTTTTGTTTTGTTTTGTTTTTTGAGACGGAGTCTCGCTCTGTCATCTGTCACCCAGGCTGGAGTGCAGTGGCGCTATCTTGGCTCACTGCAAGCTCTGCCTCCCGGGTTCATGCCATTCTCCCACCTCAGCCTCCCGAGTAGCTGGGATTACAGACACCTGCCACCATGCCCGGCTAATTTTGTGTATCTTTTAGTAGAGACAGGATTTCACCGTGTTAGCCAGGCTGGTCTCAATCTCCCGACCTCGTGATCCACCCACCTTGGCCTCCCAAAGTGCTGGGATTACAGGCGTGAGCCACTGCGCCCGGCCTGATAGGGGTTTTTAATAGCCAGACACTTGGGTTTGCATTGAACCTTGTAACAAATTCCAGTATAGTAAAGTTATCTTGTGACATTAGTTCTTTAGCCTCCAGGGCCACTGGTCACCTATACTGGTACGTCCACATACATAACATGAGGTGACTCCAAGATTAGTAGCAATACTCTCAGCTAGCTGAGCAAATAGATGCTCAGCTGACATTGGTGGAATCTGAACTTTTGGGGTTAAAATGTTTATTGAAGGATTTGAAAAATCTGAACTGTGACATTGGACTGACTTGAGCTTTAGCTCACTGAGTCTTTTTAATAATAATTAATGGAATACCTAGATTTGCTCCTTCTTGAGCAAAGTTTGCTCTCCTTGGTGTCCTTTAGTCCAAAAAGGCATATTTAGCTTCAATATGGTCAGATTTAGGGGGGTTGCATGTTTTAGTCACACAACTAATCTTTGCTTCGTGGCTGGTTAGCAGAGCTACTCTCCCTGCCTAAAGGTATTGGCTGAACTCATGTGTGGTCCATTGAATGTTACAATAGGGACATTCTTCTTCTGGTTCTCCTGTTATGATCTTAGCAGCCTTGCTGATGACTCTTTCTTGTTCTAAGTTCTTGCAGACTACTAGATTGTTTAGGTTGCTGAGGTGTGCAGCCTGACAGGCATCAAAAGATACTGAAGTAGATCCTTTATGTGAATAAGGGAATACCTTTGCTTTGCTTACGAGTTTCCCAGTTCTAACATCTTTAGGATTGGCATATGAAGGTAATAAAGGTTTCCCTATTTGAAATTCAAACCAGAAGTCATAGGGTAGGGGCCTGGATTATAACATACTTGAGCTTGCCTATTTCCTGGGTCACAGATGGAGTAGCTTGTTTGATTATAAACACGTGTCCCCCAGGGAGTTCCTGTACACTCATAATAAGTTTGATATAACAGGGTTTTAGTTATACCTTTACCAGACCAATACAATGATGACAATTATCTTGGTTTCCTCCCATGCCTGTTAACATTATTGTCATTGGTGCGATCAAGTTTATACTATGCATGACAATCCTCCCAGGCAACAAGTTTGATAGCAATTGCAAAGATAGCATGACAGCAAGACAATCAGTATAAGCAATAGTATAACTACACTTTCTTTTTTTTTTTTTTTTTTTTTTTGAGACGGAGTCTCGCTCTGTCGCCCAGGCTGGAGTGCAGTGGCCGGATCTCAGCTCACTGCAAGCTCCGCCTCCCGGGTTCACGCCATTCTCCTGCCTCAGCCTCCCGAGTAGCTGGGACTACAGGCGCTGCCACCTCGCCCGGCTATTTTTTGTATTTCTTAGTAGAGACGGGGTTTCACCGTGTTAGCCAGGATGGTCTCGATCTCCTGACCTCGTGATCCGCCCATCTCGGCCTCCCAAAGTGCTGGGATTACAGGCTTGAGCCACCGCGCCCGGCCAACTACACTTTCAAATTCAATCCACATTTACTTATCTAGTGCTGGCTTCCTCAGGCTTAGGCCGTGCATAGACTAGTCGGCTTCCGGTTGTATAACTAGAGCAGGGCTTGACGTTTCCTTAAGCTACAGCTGTGCATTGACTGACCAGCCTCCAGGGTGGTCGGAGCAGGGCGGTCGTCTTTTCCTGCTGTGCCTTGATTCCTCTGCAAGATCAGTCAAGTTGGATGATCTGGATCTTGCTGACTCGTCCACTGGTCTTGAACTGAGGCTGCAAGTTTTCGTTGGCTGTGATGGATCCAAGGTGTAATACCTGCAACTTTAACAGCAGTAAGGGTAGACATGATCACAATATGGGGGCCATCCCATAAGTGCCCGAGGGTAGTAGGATTCCAGCGTCTAACCCATACAGAGTCCCCAGGTTGAAAGGGATATATTGCATCTATAAGGCTAACAGGTATTCTTTCTCTTACCCACCCTTGTACTTCGTGCATTACCTGCATTTGTCTTCTTAGGGTCAGTTCTCCAACTTTCTTTCAATCTCCTTTTAACTGAGATATAAAGTGGGGGTGGTTGGCCATACACTATCTCATAGGGTGGATACCTGACTCGGAGAAGGACCATGGGCAATACCTAGTCCCACTTCAAATGAGTCTCTTGGTAAAACTTCTTCAATGGTTGTTTCAGTGTCCAGTTCATCCTTTCAACCTTTCAAGAATTTTGTGAGCAATAGGATGTATGCAGTTTCCATTTAATTTTTAACATCTGAGTTAGTTGCTGTACAGCTTCTGCCACAAAAGCTGGTCCATTGTCTGAGCCTAAGTTTAGAGGCAGTCCAAATCTAGGAATAATGTCTTTTAATAATATCCTGGTTACTTCTCATGCCTTTTCTGTCCTGGTGGGGAATGACTCTACACACCCTGAAAAGATGCACACAAACACTAACATGTAACGATAGCCTCCAGCCTGAGGCAGTTCGGTAAAGTCTACAAGTAGGTTTTCACATGGCACTGGTCCTGTTTCCTGAATTCCTGGGGGCCAAGTATGCCCTTGCCTTGGGTTCTTCTGGGCGCAAGTAACACTCTGCTCGCAGACAGCTCGAGTGATGGCAGTCAAGCATGGCACATAGAAATACTGCCCTACGAGAAGCTCTAAAGCTGTCTTCCCCATGTGTGTTCCTTGCTGAAACTGCTTTATAAATCAGGGGGCAACGGCTTCTGGAATGGCAAGCCTCCCATCTGAAAACTTCCACCAGCCTCCTTTCTGATAACTCCCATTTTCCTGCACAAACCATGCCTTCTCATTGGACAAGTAGTTAGGAGCATTTGCAAGGGGAGGCTCTAATAAGGGCATGGCATAAGTCTCTCTTTATTTGTTTTTTCTGTCATTGCAGCCTTTTTTGCTTCCTTGTCTGCTTTTCTGTTTCCTGTAGCCTTATCACTTCCTTCTGTTTGATGTCCTTTACAGTGGATGACTGCTACTTCCTTTGCAGTCCATACAGCCTCTAGGAGCTACTCTATTTGCTTTTTGTTCTTTATTTCTTTTCCCTCAGTAGTTAACAGTGCTCTTTCTTTGTAAATGGCTCCATGAGTATGCAAGGTGGCAAAAGCATATCTTAAGTCAGTATAGATATTCACTGACTTTCCCTTTGCTAGAAATAGTGCTCTCATGAGAGCTATTAGTTCTGACTTCTGCGTTGAGGTTCCTACTGGTAAGGGGTGGGCTTCAGCCACTGAGCTTAATGTGACTACGGCATATCTGGCCTTTCTGATACCCTCAGATATGAAGTTGCTTCCATCAATAAGTATTCAGTATCTGGGTCTTTTAAGGGTTGATCCTTTAAGTCTTCCTGGCTTGAAAAGACTTCATCCACTGTTTCTACACAGCAGTGGTACCCTGGGGCACATAACGGGAGCTTTCCATGTTCTGCACATTCTGTTGGTAACAGTGTGGCCGGATTTAGGGTATTCACAGTCTCTAAGGTGATATGGATTCCCACGTAAGGGTCCTTGGTGTCTTAGCATCCTAGGGTTAGAGAGCCAACCATGTCCTCTCTGTTCCATCAAGGTGACAACTGTGTGGGGCACCCGAATTATCAGCTTCTGTCCAAATGTGAGCTTGTTAGCATCTTCCGCTAACAAGGCACTGGCAGCCAGCGCCTTGAAACAGGGTGGCCATCCCATAGCCACCAAGTCTAGTTGCTTGGACAACTATGCTACAGGCCAATACCATGACCCTAGCATTTGCCCTAAGACTCCTGTAGCCATACCTTTTCTTACATGAACATACAGGTAAAAGGGTTTTGTCACGTCTGGCAGTCCCAGTGCTGGGGTCTGGGTTTCCTTGAAAGCCATGTCCTGTTCTTTCTCAATTTCCTTGAAAGCCATGTCCTGTTCTTTTTCCCCAAGGAGGGGCTCCTTTTTCCCCACTTTGATTGCCTCATATAAAGGCTTTGCTAGGAGCAAGTAGTTAGGAATCCATATGCGGCAAAAAGCAGCTGCCCCTAGGAATTCCCGCACTTGCCGCCTTGTGTCTGGCCAAGGAATGCTACAGACAGTCTCTTTTCGCTCCTGCCCAAGCTCACGCCACCCTTGGGAGATGTAAAAGCCAACATACCGAACTCCTTGACCACAGATCTGTGCCTTTTCCTTGGACACTTTATAGCCAGCTTCCCACAGCACTCAAAGGAAACTCTCTGTTCCTTGGATACATTCCTTTGTTGTGGGTGTGGCTAACAGCAGATCATCTATATATTACAGTAAGACACAGCGATTGCTTGGTGGTGCGAAAGCCTTTAAGTCTGAGGATTGTGCTTCTTCAAAGATAGTTGGGGAGTTTTTAAATCCTTGGGGAAGTCTAGTCCAGGTATACTGAGATGGGCCTCACTCAAAGACAAAAATGTCTCAGCTTACAGGGGCTAATTGGATGCAGAAGGACTCATCTTAAATGTCCAAGCATGTGAACCAAGCAGCACTAGCAGGTATTTGTCCAAGTACAGTGTACGGGTTAGGCACAGTAGCATGCGGTATAGCAGCTACCTGGTTGACTGCCCTTAAATCTTGTGCAGGCTGGTAGTCACTGGAAGGTTTTAATACTAGCAATAAGGGAGTATTCCGCGAGGAGACACATCTCTCTATTATTCCAAATTCAAGGAGCCATTTTAAGTGCCTTACAATCCCTTGGTTAGCCTCTATGGGAATGGGATACT